ATTTCACAAAGGGGGCAGAGGCATAAAGTGGAGTAAAAATAGCTTCTTCAACAAATGGTGCTGGGAGAGCTGGACAGCTACATGCAAAGAAGTGAAATTTGATCATCAGCTGGCACCATGCACAAAAATAAACTCAAGATGGATAAAAGACTGAAATAGAAGTTGCAACACCATAAAAGTCCTAGAGGAGAACATTGGCAGGAAACTCTCAGATATCCCAGGCAGCAATTTTTTCACCGATATGTCTCCTAAAGCAAGGGACATAAAGGAAAGGATAAACAAGTGGGACCTCATGAAAATAAGAAGCTTCTGCATGGCTAAAGAAAACATCAGCAGAATGAAAAAGGAGTCAACCGTATGGGAAAATATATTTGCTGATGATACATCAGTAGGGGTTTGATCTCCAAAATATGTAAAGAACTCACTCGACTCCACTCCAAGAAGACAAATGATCCAATCAAAAAATGGGCAAAGGACCTGGGCAGACGCTTTTCCATGGAAGAGATACAGAGGTCCCAGAGACATTTGAAAGGATGCTCGGGATCACTAGCCATCAGAGAAATGCAGATCAAAACCGCAATGACATACCACTGCATACAGGTCAGAATGGCCATCATAAACAGATCAACAAACAATGGGTGCTGGCGCGGCTGTGGAGAAAAGGGAACCCTAGTACACTGTTGGTGGGAATGCAGACTGGTGTAGTCATTGTGGAAAGGAGTGTGAATTTCCTCAAAAAGCTGAAAATGGAACTGCCTTTTGACCCAGTGATTCCCTTGCTGGGACTATACCCTAAGAATCCCAAAACACCAATTCAGAAGGACCTATGGACCCCAATGTTCATAGCAGCACAATTTACAATAGCCAAGTGCTGGAAGCAACCTAAATGCCCATCAGTAGATGATTGGATCAAAAAATTATGGTACATTTACACAATGGAATACTACGCAGCAGACAGAAAAAAAGAACCACTACACTTCGCGACAGCATGGATGGAACTAGAGAGCATTATGCTAAGCGGAATAAGCCAAGGGGCGAAAGACAAATACCATATGATCCCACCAATAAGCGGAACCTAACCAACAAAAACAAAGATGCAAGGAAAATAAGACCAGCAACAGTGAAAGAAAAAGAAACCAACAGAGACAAGAGGGAAGGAGGGAGGGGTTGGCAGGGGCAATAGGAAAGGAAGGGGCAAGTCAAGGAACATATAGCAAGGACTCATGGACAAAACCAAAGTGGGGAAGGATTCATGGAGATGGGGGGCAGGGGAAAGTGGTGGGGGGGAAGGCAGAGACAAATGTATTTGGAAAAATACATTAATTAATTTAAAAAATTTATAATTCAACAACAAAGTAAATATATATCTTAAAATGACTAGGAGAAAACGTATATAACATGTAACAGGATTTATATCTAAACTATGAAGGACTCATAAATCAATAAGAACAGGATAGCAACTTAAAGAAAAATGGTAGGCAAGTTATAGGAAAGGATGGCCAATAACCATATTAAAAGATGCTTAGATTCATCAAAAATCTGAGATTTTTACAATCTATATAAAACATTGAGATACTACTTTTGCTTAGTATATTGGCAAAAATTTATATGACTGGGTATGTCAATTATTTTTAAAAATTAAATAAAATATGAATAAAGTACCATGAGTACAAGAACCTTACTGTCTAATTTATTACTAAATTCATAAGGTTTAGAACAGTGGTTGGCATACATTAGGCACTCAATACATAATTGTGGGTGGGAGAAAGTGAGAAAGGAAAGTTGGAGAAGAAATGATATTCTCTTACTCCTATATTCATTATTGACAGAAGTGTAAAATATCTGAAGCCTTTTTGAAGAGGGATTTTATAACATATATCTATCTGTATATATAGCAATTCCATGTCTCATTTTCTTCCTCAGGGATAGTCATATCTGAACACCAAATATGCAAAAAAACTACCAAGAATTTATAATGTAGCACTGTAGCAGCAAAAGCTTGCAAATAATATATATTGTGCATTAAGAAAAAAAACTATGGCTGTTCCACGGCATGGAATATTACATAGCAACTAAAGAAATGAAGCAGATCTACATGGAAGGATCTTCAAGACATATTAGGTTACACAGAAAGTTTAACACCAATGCACACATTTAAAAAAAAATTCACAAAACTATGTATCATATGCACACATATATATGTGCATCATTGTATAGAATAGATATGAAATATTATAACCCATACCAGTAACAGTGATTACTTCTAGGAATAAGAGTTGAATTAGTGTGCGGTGGCTTTCATACTGTCTAGAGAGTGTTTCACAATAAAATGTATTCATTTATAGCTTAGGTAAAAACAACCTAACAATAATTATTAGTTTTCCTTAGGTGTTGAGTTGTTGCTCTTCTACTTCCTCATGGTGTAAAGTGGCCTCAAACTACACTTTTGAACTGATAAAAACTAATTATATAATTAAAGGATTTTTACTTTTTTTTCTCCTCCAAATTTTTGGATTTTTTTTTTTAAGACAACTGAGTACTTAGGAGACTTCCAGTCAAGATGGAGGTGTAGGTAAACATGCCTTTCTTCTGTGCACAACTGTAGCAAAAAAATATAGCTACACTACAAAACTAGTATCACCCAGAATTGTCAGAAAATCAACCTGTGTGGAAGTCCAACAACCAAGGATTTAAAGACGCCACATTCATCCCGATGGGTAGGACGGGCAGAGAGGTGCAGGAGAGGCATGGAGAAGCGAAGTGGTGCAGAGAGGTGTGGAGACAGGAATGGGCAGTCCCACATACACATGTGGTAAATAAAAAACAGGAGGGATACCTCAGGAGCGGGAGATCGCAGCCCCAGTCCAGACTACCCAGACCATGGTCCCAGTGCCAGGAAGATAGGTCCCTATAACTTCTCGCTGTAAAACCGATAGGGGGTGGGGCAGCAGATGAAACTTGGTCCTCTTAAAAGGCCCGCAACAGACTTAGGACTCATGCAGACCCACCCACTCTGGGATTCAGCACCAGGGCAACAGTTAGAAGGGCACCAGTAGTATATGGGGAGAAAGTAAAGTGCGAGTGGGGAGACAGCTTCCTCTCAGATAAACCTCCAGAGCCCAGGCAGCAGTACTGTCTCCTCTGTGAGTCCTCCCCCACACAGAGGAACAGAGCAGTGACACAGGTTGCCCTGCCCTGGCGATTACCTAAGGCTCCACTCCATACAACCTAACAGGTGCACTAAGACAGGGAGTCAAAGAAATACGGCCCAAATGAAAGAACAGAATAAAACTCCAGAGAAAGAACTAAATGAAATGGAGATAAACAACCTATCAGACGCGCAGTTCAAAACTGGTTATCAGGATGCTCCAGGAAACTAGTTGGGTACTTGCCATAAAAAAAGACCCAGGCAGAAATGAAGGTTGCATTAAGTGAAATAAAGAAAAATCTACAGGGAACCAGCAGTGGAGATGTAGCAGAGAATCAAATCAACAATTTGGAACACATGGAGGGAAAAAGCATTCAATCAGAACAGCAGAAAAAAACCCCCTCAAAAAAAAGAAGATAGGTTTAGGAACCTGTGGGATATCTTTAAATGTACCAGCATCTGAATCACAGGTGTACCAGAAGGAGAAGAGGAAGAGCAAGAAATTGAAAACTTATTTGAACAAATAATGAAAGAAAACTTCCCTAATTTGGTGAAGGAAATAAGACATACAAATCCACGAAGCACAGAGAGTCCCAAACAAGTTGGACCCAAAAAGGACCACACCAAGACACCTCATAATCAAAATGCCAAAGGTTAAAGATAAAAAGAGAATCTTGCCCTGGCTGATGTGGCTCAGTGGACTGGGTGCTGGCCTGTGAACCAAAGGGTTGCCAGTTAGGTTCCCAGTCAGGGCACATGCCTGGGTTTGCGGGCCAGGTCCCCAATGGGAGGTGTGCGAGAGGTAACCACTCATTGATGATTCTCTCCCTCTCTCCCTCCCTTCCCATCTCTCTGAAAATAAGTACATGAAATCTTAAAAAAAAAAAAAAGATAAAGAGAGAATCTTAAGAGCAGCAAGAGAAAAGCCGACAATTACCTACAAAGGAGTTCCCATAAGACTATCAGCTGATTTCTCAAAAGAAACTTTGCAGGCAAGAAGGGACTGGCAAGAAGTACTCAAAATGATGAAAAGCAAGGATCTACAACCAAGATTATTCTATCCAGCAAAGCTATCATTTAGAATGGAAGGGCAGAAAAAGTGCCTCCTAGACAAGGTAAAACTAAAGGAGTTCATCATCAACAAGCCATTATTATATTAAATGCTAAAGGGAATTATATAAGAAAAAGAAGATCAAAACGATGAACATTAAAATGGCAATAAATTCACAACTATCGATAACTGAATTCAAATAACAGACTTAAAAAAAGATGAAGAATAGGAACAAAATCATAGATATGGAGATCTTTTGGAGGGGGAAGGGAGACAATTGGGGGAAAGGTAGAGAGATTAAGAAGCACAAATTGGTAGGTACAGAATAGACAGGGGGATGTTAAGAACAGTATAGGTAATGGAGTACTTACATGAACTTACATGTATGACCTATGGACATGAACTAAGGGGGGGGAAATGCTGGAGGGAAGGGGAATACTGGGTGGAGGGAGGCAAAGGGGAAAAAATTTAGACAACTGTAATAGCATAATCAATAAAATATAATTAAAAAATAAAACAACTAAAAACATTTGAGTACTTACCACTCAGTTTAAGGAACAACAGATCACCTTATAAATAACGAACTATACTATCTACTTACACTTCAAAACATTTCTCAATATCAAAAATGATAGACCTAAAAACCCCTACAGTTTATTTAGATTTCAAACCTAAGATCATTGAACACAGGCTGTTTAAAGAATTGCCCCTACCCAAAGCAATCATCTCCTAATAAGGTGAAGTGATATAAACAACAAAATTTTTTTAAATTAAAACTTAAAGGACCAGTCCATGTCCTACCTGGGTTACTGGAATGTAGAGAGGTTCTCCATTATGTAGCAATATAAGTTTCCCATGCTGATGGAGTCGTCCTTCTGCCTTTAAATTTGCCATCTCCTTAAGTCCTCCTTTCTTGCCACTCTCTTGTCCATTTCCCTTAAGTTCTTCAGTATCACTTAGACATTCAAAAAATTCTTCTTCGCTATCACTCCAAGAATCCCAAGATTTTCCTACCTCTCCCTTTTCTTTATCCGTATCTTTTAGATTATCTGGCCCCAACTGGTCTCCATGTTTTCCAGCATCCCCTGGATATGTATTGGTTACATTATTTGAAGTACTTATCTTTCTCCCCTCATCACGTGCCTTCTTTCTTTCAATGCAACAATTTAACATCTTAAGGAAACAGAAATATATATATATTTTAATTAGTTATAATAAAATCAAAATCTATCCATTGCTTGAATATTTAATTTTCATTTTCCACCCTTTCCCTAGACCTTGTTGTGACTTACAGTGACTTTAAGTAACTTACAGCAGCAGAAATAGAATAGCCTATAATTTACACTATTTACAAAATTTAGCATTAGAACTAAGCTCCAATTGACTCAAGACCACAATTATATATGGTCATTGGAAAATCTTTACCTGTAGTTTCTGATGTAGTAAACAACATCTTAGATCTGGGGGTCCGCTTGCTAATCTATCAAATAAAGTAGTAGGAAAAGAAAGATTATTTTCAGTAAAATTGCTCTGGGTATGCATAATTTTTATACTAACACAAATTTCTGTGATGTTGTTAAGAAATCAAAACTAGAGCTACATAGATAAGATAGCTGAAATGGAGCAAATAAGATTAAAAGATCAAAATTTATTTTATTCTCCTAGCTCACAAGTCACCAACATCAAATATAATAGATATTTCAAAGCATAATAATAAACTAATGAGAGCTCCCATGCTAAAAGAAACTTAACATGAACAAATATCTTTAAATCCATCCCAGGAAGTAGCTAGCATACATATAAAATAGATTAAACTATGTTTTCAGCGCGCAATTATTATAGTGGATTCATAATATAAAAAACATCAATTTCTACCTCTCTTTTGCCTAGACTGCCTCTAATTCTAAACCTCTAAATTCCCAGTAATCAGCAAAGAGAGATTCTACCTAAGTAGAGGTTGACAAATGACAAAAGATAAACATTTTTGGATTAGTCGCCATTTTATACTACTCATATGATGAATCTCTACATGTCAGGGAAAAACAAAGGCAGATGAGCAGTAACCTATGTAGTATTAACATGTATGCTAACTAAACTCTCCTATGTGATTAAGTGAAATGTCAATATATACTATACCACCCCCCCCCCAAAAAAAATCACAGGTAATGTTTAATATCTAAACTTACAAACTCTAAAGATGTTTTTCCCTCCAACTATAAAAATATATGTTCACGACATAAAATTTAGAAAATACACAAATGTATAAAGAACAAAATAAAAATACAATTTCACACCTGGAAAAATTGCCATTGACATTTAGCTATACTTCTTTCCAATTATTTTTCTGTACATAATTGAAAGTGCTCAATATATGCAGTACTATATTCTACTTTACTACAAGTATTAGGATCATTTTCAATGTTACTAGAGACTCTTGGGGAAAAAACTTGCTACTGTAGAGATATATCATAATTTCCACTGTAGAGATATATCATAATTTACTTAACCATTTTTTTATTTCTGACACTTAGGTTGTTTCACCTTTGTTTCCCCCTTATAAATTTGTTGCAGTGAATATCTCTGAACATAAATCATTTCCAAAGTTTCTTACTATTTTCTTAGGGCAGATTTTTTAGAAGAGAATTAATGGTCCAAAAGTTAAATTCTGCCAACAAACAAAAATCTAATCTATACAAATGGAAATTGAAATTATTACCCCGGAATCAGAAAGTTGTTTTCCCATCTGAAACGCATTTCAAGAACAAATTCCTGCCAGAGGTGTGCCACTCCTTTCAATCCTCCATGATAAAAGTTGATCATACAAAGACACAAAGCCAATTTGTATGTTAAACTGTCAGATGGTGCAGATTTAAACTGATTGTAGAGATTCTAATTTAACAAAATAGAAACAGAGCAAAACTTGTTAATGACATATTTATACATATAATAAAAAAGTGTGTGGGTGGAGATTTTAATACTAAAATTAATCTATCCTACCCAAACTAACTTTTATCAATGTCTAATGCATTACAGACTAAATTATTCTTAGGCAGTTCCATGTCTTCAAGATTTCTACAGGGATCAAAAAAGTGAAGCTATAGTTTGATGAGGCTAAAGTTATAAGTTTCACTTCTGTGGAATCTTTAAGATGTATTCCAAATTTTATGTGTTGCTTTAAAAAACCTTTTAATTAAAAATAGTACACACTTGTCAAAACAAAGATATAAAATAAACTCAGAACTGTACAAACTGAAAATGTAAATCTTTGCTTTGATCCTCACTTCATGAAATCTACTACTTAACAATAACTACTGTAACAGATTGATATACCTCTATACCTGTCATTTAAATTCTCATTTCTCAATTTACCAAAGATATGGATAAGGAAAACATTAAAATTTTACTTCATTAAAGAGTTTTGCACTCACTCTCTAGTTTGAAATATAAGACAGAACCTGTTGCAAAACATAAATTTTATGATTTATGAAAAGTTTAAAATGAGGGAACTTCCACAATCACGCACAATATATTTTATGGGTTGTTTTTTTCTTTTTTTCATTGTTATCAGAAAAGTTCTTGCTACTCAAATTATGCCAGTGTTCTATAGCAGGTCATTTTCTAAGTGGAGGCCATGATCTCCACTCAAGTTTTCTTTTTCTTTTTTTAATTTATTTTTTTCAAATACACTTGTCTCTGCACTCAAGTTTTCTTTCTTAAAGTGATTTTTAAAATAAAAAGATCCTTATGCTACTAAACTAGAAATACAGCAAACTCTTAGAAATATAATGCATTTTAATCACCGAATTTCAGGTCAACTTAATCAACTTACATATTCTTCACTCTCTGATGAAGGATTATTATCTGCTGAAGAAGTTCCATCTAATGGTTTCTCAGAAGCAGCATCAGGGAATAAGTACTTAGAGAGAGAAAATAACCACATTTTCAGCCTAATTTGTTTATTTTTGTTACTCATATAGGCACTGTTTGACTTTTTAATGATTTTGCTATTAAAACAATGAAAATGCTCTTATTTGTACTGGCCAGCTGGTTCTACATTATCTGAAGCTTTTTCTATTTTTTTTGAAAATACGGAGTTTTAGTAACTAGCCAATTTTAGAAATCAGAGGCTTTTCTTAATAGTAAATACCTGAATCTGTAAACTTAAACAGAATGAAAAACCAAAACTTCTTCACTATGATTTCAGGCTCATCCAAGGTTGTTAAAGTTTTCAGAAAGTATTAATATTATTAAAAAGACAAAGCTATAAAAGAAAAATTTAAAACACACGTATATTCATGAGACTCAGTAGTTATATTATTCCATAAATTTTCATATGTGAAATAATAAAAGTATGATATTTAAGACACATCACTTCATTTTATGAGACACCTCTAGAAAGTAGGAAGCAGTCTAAACCTGAAATGACCAGGGTTATCTCTTCCTCGTGGTCTCTGTTTATGTGTGTAGTAGTGGTTAAAAAAGAAAAATTCAGCCTAAATGACAAGCTATATAACTGGGATAAAATCTCTAAGGATACATTCTTAAGAAGGGTTCTTCTCTACACAAATTTATTTTCAGTCCTTTCATCCTTGTTTCTCTAAGTGCTTTGTGGTACTGCTGACTTGTAATTCCTTTTACTATGCATACCTTGCCACATATTTTATGTGAACCCCCACTACTAGGCACATTTACAAACAATATCCTATTTCCATGTTACAATGTGAACTAAATATCACTACCCATGTCTTAAGACATAAAAGCTGAAATCTGGTTAAGAGTATTGTTCAGATTAATGACAGAGCTCAGATTAATATCAAATTTCCAAGACCAGTATTCTTTTCATTGCACTACTCTTGAAGGTTTTTCCCCAAGACTACCTTAGTGCACATGCCAGAGAATGATTATAACTACAACTATAGTAAGAATATCTATTTATAGTAAGAAGACCATTTATCAAAGGTCTATTATATGCTAGGCAGTGTAACAGAAATTTCTTTAATCCTCCTAACGGTCTCACAAGGTTTTATCAGCCTAACTTGTAGATAAGGAAACTGAAGTTAAGTGGCTTTTCAAAGTAAGTCAGGCTCCCAGGCTGGGCCTGTTCTACCACAGTATAGTAGAAGACACCTTAGCCCCTTTCAGTACTCACTATAAAATATAAAGCTTTCTCTGGACTCCTGTGAAAGAAATTTTTCAAAAACACAATTCTGGTCACATTGACTTGCTTAAAATGGTATGAAACTGCATGAGAAAGTCTAGCACCTCACAATGGCAGGTTACCTGCTATCTCTTCAGCCTGGTCTCTGGCCACTTACTGGGAAGTACCATAGGATATACCAAACTATTCAACACACTCTTAAGACCTCTGTTATTCCTCTGCTTTTACAGCCCTCTTCTTCTTCAAGATGTAGCTCAAGTGTCCCTCATTATGAAGCTTTCCCTGATTTCAACTGCCCACACAGAGACAGATGCGCCCCCTGCTGTGTTCTCACAGTCCTTCTGCCAGATTTCTCACCTGCGATATGCTATTGTTCTGAATGTGGAAACTTTGTTTTACTCATTTTGTATTCCCAACCCAGTGCCTGCCGCATAGAAAGGACTGAACAGATAATGAATAAATGCTTATGCATATAAACATAGAAGGACACTATTAGTTACCAAGAGAATGGTATTGAGGACATCATTATTCAGTGGTGACTCTTCTAGACCTCTGTGTTTTCGTATTTTCTTCTTTGCAGTATGTACCATATTTGAAACTGATAATTTATGAATTGGAACTGGTGCTGGCTCTGTCAACTTTGACAAAGCATGAGTTATGTCAGTAACTTCTATAAGAAAAATAGAAATTAATACAAATTATATCACCAAACTTAGTGGATTACTGTGATAAGTAAACTAAAGACTGTATTGAAATTTTTTTTTTATCTTCACTTGAGGACATGCCCATTGATTTTAGAGAGAGGAAGGGAGGGAGAGAGAGAGAGAAACATCGATGCAAGAGAGAAACATCGATGCAAGAGAGAAACATTGATCAGTTGCCTCTTGCCCATGCCCCCACCAGGGACCAAACCCGCAACGTAAGGCATGTGTCCTAACAGGGAATTGAACATTCTGTTTATGGGACAATGCTCCAACCAACTGAGCCACAACAGCCAAGGTTGTAAAGAATATTTGAGTCACTCCTTTCACTAGTGTTACATGGTCTCAGAATTATAAAATATTAATACACATGTTCAGCTTTATATGCATGTATGATTGACAAAAGTGTAACACAAATTATTTCTCCCCAAGTAACTTCAAAAATAAACCTCTAAAGCACTGCTTTTCAAAATTTTTGGTGGAAAGAGCTTACTAAATGCACTTAATGTTTTAAGCTCAGGGTATATGGTATGGCCTGGAGAGAAATGGTAACTATCTGGTTCATCAATACTTGCTTCTCCAACTTAATTCAAATAAGAAAATGGATAAATAGTTGCTAGAAAACATCCCCCTAAAAAGGATTACACATTTGAAAATAACTTGAAAAAGAGCAGGTTACCTTTCCCTTCTTCCTCAAATGTGGATCGTCCAAGAATCTCATCAGTTGACTCCTTTCGACGGCAAACTTTAAAAAATTCAGTGACAAAATCACCTACAGAGAAAAAAATGTATCTAATTTTTGACACTTAAATGAAAGAAATCAGTCCTATAAATTAAAGTACATATATTTTCACAAAGCTATTAACAAACATATAGGAACAAAAAAACCATTCAGTATTTCCACCTCTGACAAAAATTAACCCTATTTCAAAGGAAGCTGGCTCTTCCTTTCTCTTCATGTGTCAGGATAGTAAAATGTTGAATCCATTAAAAAATAAAAATTAAAAAGAAATTCTAAAGATATGTTTCTAAAGGATTAAGAAATTATATAGGATGAACTTATTTCAGCTTTAGCTGTGTTTTTATGGCACTCTTTGTGTTATTATTACAAGAAAGGGAAAAAAAGATTTGGTGTCTCCTAAAGAGCTACAATGAGATGTCTATACAGAGAAATTAAAGCTTAACAAGAACCATCAGTCCAAAATTATGACAATACAATGTATTGAGTACATCTAAGTTTTAGAATTCACTAATTAGAACTGATAAACCTAAAACATTTTCTGGACTTCTTCAGGAAAAGTAGGAAAATCCTATAATCTAGGCATACAAACGATGTAACTATAGTTTATTATATATGAGTATATAATCTTAAAATCTAGTCATATAAACATATAAAGTCAAAGAGGTAAGGTGAGAACATGGAACAACTGTGAGAATCCCGTATTTTGTCATGTATAATGTGCATTTTTTTGCCTAAATTTTTGAGGGAAAAATAAGGATGGATGTTATACATGGGTATAATGATTACATATCATGGGTATAATAATCCTGTGTATAACGTGCACAAAAAATGGGTGTGTGCATTATACACAACAAAATATGGTACTTCCAATTCTAAGGTCCTCTGCAATTATCATAGAAGTCAGTGGATAAGGGATGATAAAGAACAATTTTGCAAGTTATTTATTTATTTATTTCAAATACATTTGTCTCTGCTTTCTCCCCACCACTTTCCCTTGCCCTCTCCCCGCCAAATCCTTCCCCTTTGGTTTTGTCCATGAGTCCTTGCTATATGTTCCTTGACTTTCTCCTTCCCTTCCTTTTCCCCTGCCCCCCACTCCTTCCTTCCCTCTTGTCTCTGTTGGTTTCTTTTCCTTTCAGTGTTGCTGGTCTTATTTTCCTTGCATCTTTGTAGAAGAAACTATTGAGCATTTACTATAAGATAGGCAGTGAGTTAAATGTGATATGTACACACATGCATAATCTTTTTTCTCTCATTAACCCTAGGAAATATATACTATTACTATCTCTATTCTCCTAAGACCTGGAAAAATTAAAACACTTGCTCAAACTGGTGGATCTAGGATGTGAAACAAGGTCTATCCAACTCTAAAATTCTTGGTATCTACCCTCTGCTATCTCCCCAACACCCCAAGACAAATTCACCAATAGCAGGAATTTTATGTATCTTTGTATTCACTGTGTAGTTAGCACAAATGGCAAGTCCCAATTAGCATTTGGTGAATAGCATATGATGAATGATAGAGCCCAAGAAAATAACACTTTAGAGAAATGCATCATAATTGTCATCAATAAATATTTAGTAAGTCTTTCAGATGAATGGTAATATATCAGATTATATGAAATGAAGATGGCATGGATGAACACAAAAAGAGAAAATATTTTCATGTGTACTAAATACATATTAAAGAGAAAAAGACAGACACATTGAGGATGGGTTCAGAAGACTTCATGAAAGAGACAAATCTACAAAAATGAGAAGGAAAAGATAATTCCAGACATGCAATACAATAATACTATCTATATAGCAGTTAATATTTGTCAAAGTATATTTGTTATTTCACTTGATTCTTCAAATAACCCTATAAGGTGACAAGATTATTATACCTCTTTTCCTCTAATAGAAAACAGGTTTGCATATATGATACAACTCTACAGAAGGACTCTTACAGATTGTAAAAATCAGTGTTCTCACCATCATACACACAAGTCCATGGGGATTGCAAAAGGCAAAAAGGGCTCCAATAACTAGAATGAAGATGCAGACTATGCAATAGGAGGAATAAAGGAAGTGACATAAAAACACTTTACAAATAAAACTCAGATCATGAGAAAATATCAGAGAATTCTGAAATACAGAAATTAAAATTTTAGTTAAAACTAAAACTAAAATACAGAAAAAGAAATCCTTCTAGTCCTATTCACTGCTGTGGGCAAAGATATTTTTTTAATGGTGTTAATTGAGGAGGTCACAAATGTAAAATATTAAAATAAAAAAGTCTTTTTTGATAGATAAAATGAAGTATGAAGAATATATTCAGTGTACTGATTTGGATGACAGAAAGACTGATGGTATTTTAGGAAAGGAAGATAATATATCTTACCGAGTAAACACTGAGGATTATCAGCTTTTCGAACTCTAACAGACCAATGGGGAGCTTGAATAGGATCCAAATCACTAAAACATAAAACAATAAACATAAGATAGATCTTAATTATAATAATCTGTAATACTTATGAATTTATCAAAAGTCAGTGTAATAAAAACATTTTATAGAAGGACAAGCTATCCATTTTGCCTCCCTTTAACTTATTATTTTTCTAATAGATAAGGCCATTTGGATAATTTTTTAAAAAATCTTAAGAAATCAAAGTGTTTTTGACAAAAAAGGACAAAAGGAAAAAACAAAATATAAAACAATTTTAAAAGGACATTGAAAATGATTCTGAATGGACAATGTCCATTGATAATCTAATGAAATAATTTTACTTTAGGAATTATAAAAAAGGAAGAAGTATGCATAATCATCTTAAACAACATGTTTTTTAGAGCCCTATTAATTTAAAAAACTATAAAAATTTGCCCAAGATCATAAGTGCCCTATTTTCTCAATTACGTAGATTATCATGCATCCCCTCAATGAAATACTATGCAGCAATTTAAAAAATGCCAACAGGGATCTACATTTACTGGCATAAGAGATATGAAGTAATTAATTGAATAAAGCAAATTAATATATAAATTTAAATTTTAAAAAGATATACCCTCATTCAAATATCAAATCATTGTTATACACCTGAAACTAGTATAATGTTATATATCAATTATTACTCAATTACTAAAAAAGGATACACCTGAAAATGATAACTGGCTGTTTTTTAAGCAATGGCATTGTAGGCAGTCTTTCTTCTTTTTACCCATGATAATTATCTGATTAAGAAAGCTCATGTTACTTTCATCAGCAGCAAATACAACATATTTGTTTTAATTATGAAAAAAAGTATCCTATTTCTCACTGTTCTGCATCAAGAATGAAAAGATACTAAAAGTATATTCCTCTTTCTCTATATTCTTCCCAGATAATGCTTGTTATAATTTTCAAGTTGTTTCCATTGCTAAGGAGTATATGACATGCATGTTATTTATGACATTTAATGATAAATTATTCACACACATTCTGATGACAGTCATCTTTCCAAAGCACTCCAGTGAAGTACTTCTAAGTAGGTAAGAAAAGTTCAACAGAATTATACACCAAATCCCAAACTGATTAGAGACATCTTTGCTAAAACCAAGACAGATTCAGACTGTTCATTATATCTGAACTAAGGATCACATCCCCTAAGTCAGCAGCTTAAAACATTTCTGTAATACATATTAATCAGTTTAAAAAGTGATCTTTAAAAATAGAAAAATCAACTTTATCAGGAACTGATGATATAATAAAAAGGAAAACTACTAACCACTTGACAGCTAATTTATTCTACTAAAATGTTTGAGTCTCAATGTACTGATATTAACATACTTACGAATAAACATCATTATCCACAATGATACCTTCAGTCAGGTGAGGCCATGTAGTTGCTAAGTGGAGTTCACTAAAAATAAACAAAAATAAACAAAACATAAAATATATCCAAAAGCTTTAATTGTGTATGTGTTTCTGTGTTAATGTATGTGTCTATATATATATATCCTCAAACCCAGCAATTCTATTTCTAGAAATGTATCCTATTATACATGCAAGTATGTTAAAAATGGTATTACTTATAATACAATAAAAATGGAAACTAGTTTAGCAAATGGTAGCACATCCATATGAAGTAAATGTCTTTACAGACTTTTTAAAAAGTTCTATACATAATAGCCAAAAAGTGTAAATAACCCAAATGTCTATCAGCTGATGAATGGATAAATGAAATGTGATATATATAAACAATGGCATATTATACAGCCACAAAAACAATGAAGTACTGATTCATGCTACAATATAGATGAATCTCAGAAATGGAATGCAAAGTGAAACAAGCCAGACACAAAAGGGAAGGTATCAGATACTGCAATTTATGTGAAATGTCCCAAATAGGCAAATCCATATAAATAGAAAGTAAAGTAGTGTTTGCCTATAGCTGGAGAGCCTGGGGAGATTAGGAGAGATGACAGCTAAGAGGTGAAGTGTTTATTTTTGGGGTAATAAAAGTTTTCTGGATTTAGTGATGATGGTTGCACAACTCTATAAATACTAAAAACTGCTAAATTGTACACTTTTAAATGGTGAATTTCATGATACATGAAAACATGTCAATTTTGATAAAATGGTGTAAGTGAGGGTTGGCAAAGGTTTTCTACAAAAAACTAAAGAGAAAATATTTTAGGTTTTGTGAGCCATGTAGTGTCTGTTATATTCTTGGTTATTTTTTCTTTTAAAACTATTTAAGATGTAAAAACCATTCTTCGCTCACTGGCTATACAAAAACAGGCTACTGGCCAGATTTAGTTCACAGGTCATAGGTCGCTGACCTCTTACAATAAATGAATATTAAGTTTCAAAAAGTGTTCATGTAAAATTATAATATAAAAAAAAGGGGCAAGCCACAAAAAATACAGAGGATGACATACACTTACAAAATACACAAACATATTGTGCAAAACAATAGTTAACATAACAGGCCTGGTATTTAGAAAGGACGACTTGGAAGGCTGGTCCTTGGCTTGGCATCTAGGAAAATGGATTTCAGAGGGGTTCATACCATTCCCTGAGGAGTGGATCACTGTGCCTAAACTACTTGTGCGAACAATATAGTCTAGGCTGAATACCTGCTTTGTTTTTGATACATTTTAGGCAGAGGGTGCCAACATGACCAGCCCTGGATAAAAACCTCAAGCACTGAGTGCCTAATGAGCTTCCCTGGTAGACAGCCTTTCACACATGACACAAGTCATTGCTGGGAGAATTAAGTGTGTCCTGTGTGACTACATTGGGAAACTTGTGCCTACTTGCTTTGGACCTCACCCTATGTGCCTTCTTCCTTTGATTTTTGCATTGTATTCTTTTGCTGCAATAAATCATAGCCACAAGCACAACCACTGAGCTCTGTGAGTCCTCCTAACAAATCACCAGCCTGAGGGTAGTCTTGCAGACCCTTGGTGCACATACATATATACACCAAATTCACATGCAGGAAGAAATGACTGAAAGCACATATATCAAGCTGTAATAGGCAATCACCCATGAGTAGTGGGATTATGAATTTAGTGAATTTTTTTCCCTGTCTAAATTCTAAATTCATTTCTTATGTTTAGAGACTACAGGAGCCAAAAGAGCCAAATACATTATTTTTTTATCCTTAATGGTACTCAACTAATTGGCAACTCCAGGCTGAGACTCTGGGTCCACAAGCAGTTTAGAATTCACTGGGGGAACAAGGCTAGCTCTCCACAACAATGCAGTGTAACTTCAAATATGAACTGAACAACTAGTCACCATTGGCTCAAGCCTACTTTCCAAGCCTAGTCCTATAATGGCACTAATTAAACCTTTAAGTTACCAAATATCTTTCCAATAGATTGATTTTGTTTTGCATGAATTAGAGTTGACTACTACTATTTGCAACTAAAAACCTGATTAGTAAACACAGGATTTCTGTTTTTTTTTAAATGTTTTCTAAATTTACTCCACTGAACATGAACTATTTCTTTCATAATAAAACTAATTTTTAAAAGTTTAAAAATGACCATAAACAGTATGTGATATTAGAGGACATAAGAGACAATTAGCATTTAAAACTATAAGCTCTTATTAACCTAAGATTCAGTTCCTAAGTTTTTATGACTGTGTACTCTCCTCTCCCTCTAACTACATGACAATTTCTCCGACAAGAGATGACACTAAAAAAAGCCTCTTCATTTCCTCTTCCACTGCCAAAGATTCCTTTTCAAAAGCATAGTGCCTACAACATTTGCTAATCACTATTTGATTTAAATGGTCTACAATATGGGCCATCTTACTCCCAATTAATTTTTGCACACATCCTCAATTATTTGTTTCTCTGCTGACTCCTCATCACATATAAAATTAGGAAGAAATATTTAATAATTAATTACTTCAAATTTCTACTATCATGTCAATTTTATTCTTTCTCTCTAAAATTTTCCCTAAGCAAAATCAGATGAATGAACCAAGTGGAAGGCAATAAGTCTATAAGTTACCATATACACTTCCCTCTTGTTCACTATATTCTAGCCATGCTGGCCATCTGTACTTCCCCCCTCAAAACAAGCCAAACTCTTTCCTGAATCAAGGCTCTTTGGGTAGGCTCTTCCTTCCACATGGAATGGTCATTCTCTAACTCTTTGCCTGGATAAGTCCTCCCCTAATTGAGACTAAAGTTAAATATCACTTCCTTTGAGAACACTTTCCTGATGGTATCCCAATCTAAAGCAGCTCATTTTACTGTCATCATATCCTGTACTTTTCCTTGAAATTATCCCACAACTTGTATGTTTATTTAGGTGATTATTTTAAGTCTATTTCCTTCAACTAGACTGTAAATGCCAAGCAGGTGCTCTTTTATTTACTTCTGTATCCTCCTTACTTAGCATACTGCCTGGCTCATATGATAAATAAGTATTACAAAAGATGCTAACTTTATCTTCTCTCTTAAGTAATTTTAAGTTATAACTATTATTATTACTACCTCTATGTGAGAGTATTAAGTATGTATGTATGCATGTGTATATATTTTTTAATTAACCAAATACTTTAACAAATAAGATTATTTCTAAATCACCATTGTTTATATTTTCCAAATATTTTGTTACTGGTTCACATTTTCTTGTGAAACAACTTTTTATTAAACTTCAGTAGCTCTTCTAGAAAAGCAGGTGGATAACCTAAGAGGTCACCCTTATGCCTTAAGTTTTAAATTTAAGTCTTAATTTATACATTTTGAAAAAGTGGTCAGGAAGAATGTAAACAACTGTTAATTCTGGGTTATAGATACATGAAAGTTTATTATATATAACATTCTCTGTGTTTTCAATATTTCAAATGTTTCCCAAAAAGCTGACCAAGAATCACTTCTATAAGGAATAATGTATTATATACATTCTATATATTATTTTCAAGCCTCTTTTATTACTCAAGTTACAGAGGAAAAAAACGTCAAAGATGGACAGATTATTAGTCATAGGTCTGTTATCCAGTACTGTATTCATTCCAGGAGGCTATATTATTATAAAGCACAGTAAAATCAATATCAATATAATGTTTAAAGTGAAGTCCCATGATTCAAATGAGAGATTGAAATTCTCACCTAATAGGATCTTCACAGGCACCAAATGGTAACTTGCCAAACTCCAGGCCTCCAACTTCTCCTCCTACAAGGGCATCTATATCTAAATATTTTTCCATTATTGAGCACAAAAACAGAGAAAAAAGAATTAGTTAAGTTAGCCCTTTGGAAGATTATAGATTTAGAAGTGCCTACATCAAGAGCACAAATAGCAAGTTGGAGAGCAAGCAACCAGGTACTAAAGACTTCCTCCAAGAAAGTTGTAGTAAAAGAACACACTTAATTCCTATTTATTCAGTGTTTAATTTAACTCATGCATTCTAATTTTAACCTTCTTAAATATTTCGTGAGAGAATGTTATCCTGTAAAGTTTTTTTGCATTTCCTAAGAATGTGATTAATACCATCTAAAAGAAAGATTATCCAAGTATTAAAAAATTTAAGCACCAACCTACAGTCATCAGTTTTGCTGTCAATAGTTTCTGAATAACAAATTAATCCTCATTAATAAAATTAATTTCAGTTCATAGTACATGGAAATATTTAAAGTTCATTGAAGAATTTCCTTTCCATTACAAATGGTACCTGAGATTAGAGAATTTAAGAGGGTAAATCACTTCCCTTAGTTCCATCCCTCTTGAAGAAGTAATAAACACTTCTAAAACACATCAAAGGATTTATTTCTACCTGCAATAATACAGATGGTTGTTTTTAATTATTCACACTACCCTGGGAATTCCTAAAATTAAAGCCTACTACTGAGTTTTGAACTCCCCGGATTTACTAAAATCGTTTTTGACAGTTATCTGCACCCTAACTAAATTATTAAAATTAGTCATTATATATGGTTCAATTACTGATTCAGTAAATTTTCTCAAGTCAATTCATTCCATTTTTCCAACTAAAGAATGCTTACAATAATAAAGATCACAATTACTAGCTTTATTACAAGATGTCAATTTTTAAGAGGTTCAAAATTTAGAAGCTTTTGTAAATTAAAAATGATGACTTGACTATAACTGTCCAATGTTTTCACTGAAGTAAAAGTTGAGAAGTAACATTGTGAAATGAAAGGATTGTGGGATTTAGAGTTTGGTGTTTGAATGAGAACTTTAACACTTGGTGGCCATGTGACCTCAATTCAGTTCCTTATGTTCTCTAAGAAAAATAATAGTGTCTCATATGTAAATGAGAATTACACAAAACAATATAGAAAATACCAAGCACAGTATCTGCAGCATAGGAGAAAATATTAAAAATGTATATGGCCTTCAACCCACTGAAGAAAAAGGTTAATATTTTTATCTCCATTCAAAAAAAATTTGGCAATAGAATGTTAACAAAGGCCTTACTGGCAATTGGAATTACAATGCTAAGATTTTGTCTCTTTTGCTTCTTCTAAAATCACCAGAAGACTAGGGAAACATCATTGGAAATCTTTAAAGCTGACTAATATTATAGTAGCCTTTGAAAACAGGAAAAGGAAGGTAAGAAGCTGGCTATAAACTGCTTAGTGGGTATTGTTGTCTGAGAACTAAAATTACCAAAACAAAACTGATGAACAAACTAAAACCAGAGGCATGGATACATGGAACAGACTGACAGATCTCCGAGGGGAGGGATGTGGAAGGAATGGAAGATGTTAGTCAAAGAACATACATGCATAGCCCATGGACACAGACAAGAATGTGGTGAAGGCTGGGTTTGGGCTGGGCGGAGAGTCAATGGGGAGACAATGGGGGACATGTGTAATGGTGTCAACAATAAAATAAATAAATACTATAAAATCACCAAAACAAACATTTGAGTTTTTGTCTAACATAAGTGTCAGCTTAGTTTTTATTTCCTTTTGCTGCAGTTTAGATGCGGTTACTTTATGGTACATTAGAATTTCAAATTATTCAGTCGTACATAAAGTAAAAGAGTAGTAGTATATATAACTACCAAAAGATAAGGATGTAATACATTAACTTTAATATCATCCCAAGACTACCAATTTATTATTTTCAATCCAATAAATAACCAACTACTTGGAATAAAAATTATACTAATTTATTTCTCTTCGAGGGAGAATGAAAAGTATTTTCAGGCTAGTAAAATCCTTGTAATAATTTATGTTTGTATTTAATTCCTTATTAGATGTACTTGATTATAATTATACTTAGAAGCGAGAGAAATGCCCAGGAACCTAAACCTCACTTAATTAGGCTCTATGTCTACCAGGCTGAGATTTTCTAGAACTTATGTGATGTCTTGTTTATATTTGTTTCCCTAGTACAGTCTGGCCTATTATAAACCAATAATTAATGATTGTTGAATGAATCAGTATAGTAATGGCCAAACTGGTAAATTGATTTTTTTTTTTTTTAAATGAACTGACCAGAAATTGAACCCTCAGCCTTTTGGCCTAGAGGACAATGCTCCAACCAGCTGAGCCATGTGGACCAGGTAAATTGATTTTAATTACATTTTTATCAACTGCAAGTTAAACTAAAATATTCTACAGGTCTTCCCATCCTAAGTGTATGTATATATAAACATTTTGTTTCTTTTCTGGTTAGGAAACTCTTTTTCAAACTCTATAAAGTTCTCTGCATGTCTATCCTCAGCTTATGATAGCTTCTCTAACAGTATTCTAAAAACAGACATTTCAATCATTCGCTACATACTAATTTACAGCACATGATGTTCCACAGCAGGGGCTGCTTTATAAATAATGTTAGCTTTCAAAGACAGACTGTCAAATATAGAGTAATACTGTCTCTAGAACAACCTAGAGAACTTTTCTTAAGAGAAAAAAAATGAGAAATGCAATGAAATCAACCATATTACACTTAGAATGAATTACAAATATTTCAAATATAAAATACCTGAAACACACTGTTAAATAAATTTAATTTCTGAATATATTTTCTTTTCTATTTATAGCCAGTAAGTTAAGTATAGTTTTAAATGATCTTACCTGGAGGTTGCTGAGGCCAAAAATACTGCTGCCAATCCTGCAGTACATAGGTAAATCGAATGGTAATACTAACTGGAGGCAATGGAGTTAAAGGACATCCCTAGGAAATAAATGCAAAGGCAATATGGTGGGGCTTTAAAAAAAAAGGTGTCTTTAAAAACAATACCAGAGACCAAAATTACATTATAATAAAACTGTTTAATACCTGGAAACAAGATACTAAATTCTATTACGCAAAATACTATTTCATAATATACAATTTTAATTACACAAGTATAATTTCTTATTTTTTTCAGCCATATTAAATATGAAAAACCTGTGATTCATTTTTTATATAAGGGAAAACTATTATAAAGTGTAACAGTAGGTTTGGGGAGATGATTGATGTCTTCTCTTTCTTTTAAGTGAAAATAAATTCAAATTAAAGACAGTCTTGAATACTGAACCAAAATTTTAGACTAAAATAAATGGTGATTCATGTAAAATAGTTTATATTAATGAATTAGTTAACAAAAAATTTAGGTTTATCTTTAATTCATTAAAAATTAGTATCATCCAAACATCCTATGATCTCAGCGTCCCTTAATAATAGTTAATGCTACATTAAAGTGGAATAGGACATAAAAGTACATAGGAAACATAGGGAGTTTGTGAAAATGTAGATTCAATAGTATTCTGCACATCTAACCAGATTCCAGGTGTTGTAGATACTGGTCAGGAGGAATGAGACATTTAGCTCAGTAATAGCATTAACTGAATACAAACTCAACCTAAAGTCACAATATAAGGTGGTGGCCAAAAGAGATAATTCAGTTATGGGCTGCTGTATCCTAGACAAGCAAGGTAAGATTCTGTTTGGTCATGATAATCATCTTTTTAGTTAGGTCCAGATATCAAATGAGAGTTCACACATAAAAAGGCACAAATGGTCTAGAAACTGTAACAAGGTTGCTTTGACATATAACCTCTGCTCCAGTCAGACAGCAATGTAGATAAATATAGAAAGAGAAAACCAAAAAGAAATAGCTAAAATCAAACATCACATACGTATCTTTGTGAGCCCTAGAAAAGGCACAGAAAACCCAAATTGATAAATCGGGCTCAAGGCACATGCCTGCTGAGTTTTAGGTACAGAACAAGGCAGTTGATGGATGACAGCCTTGGATTGGAGGCTGCACTGTTTCAGACCTAAAGTACTGCACCCAGAGAATGAGGACACTACAAGACTCTGTTTAAGAAAGACACTGGGGCAGGGCACTCCTGCTTGGTACAGTGGCTTTGTTGGAAGCAATGCGATTGGGAAGAGTTACTGTGTAAGGGAGAAAACCCATTCTCATGATCTGAACAAGCAATCCAATAATTCCTGACTAGCTATATGAGTACAATACCCCAATACCATCACAGAACAAGAGGCTCCAAACACCATTTTAAGATGTGGTTCTGAAACATTCCATAGGTAGGAAGCAACCACAAAACTAAAACCACTAGAAAAAAAATGGGAAAGTTTAAAATGTTAAATACTCATAATGAGCCTCCAAAAAATTTTTCTCCAAAACATGAAAAAAATGTGGTTTTAAAAGAGACAAATATCTAAATCAATAATCAAAATATAAAATCACGAAATATAAAGAACATTGGAATAAAACAAAGAATGTCTAAACAGAAAAGGAAAAGACGAGGGTGCGAGAGTTTTCAAATATTTAGAAGATTATAGCAGAAAAGGATTTAAACTTAAAATTTTATGTGACTCCAGAGGGCAGAACTGCTCCCACCCAAAAGGAAGTCTTTTCTAATTAGATCTATGTGAAAATGATATAAACTGCCATTGAAGGATGGGAGTCCTGGGACACGTCAGGCAGATGTTAGAGAGTAATTTTTAAAAAGATAGTTCAGGAGAATCAAATATTGGGTAGGCTTTAGCTATGTGCTAAAACTTTTAAAGTACCCACACAAACTCTCAATAATTTTAAGCTCAGCTCTTAATCAAATCAATTTTGAGAGGTACTGCATATCTAGATGAGTGAGTTTTGTGAAAGCTCTGACAGATAATGTGATAAACTGATTAGGAATACTGTTTTTAAGTGCAAGTAGAATATAGTCATAATCTAAGTCAGGCACCACGGAACAAGGTCATCCCCAGTTTCAGTAACAAAGAGATGAGCTACACAGAGGTGCATCATAAAAGATCCATGAAATAATGTCCTTTCATTTTTTTTTTTTTTTTTTTTTTTTTAGGAAGAAGGAATGAAGTTAATATTTTTACCTCACCAGAAATTTGAACTAGAAAAATTAAATATAATTGAAAACTTCTGGTGAGAACAAAAGAAAAGCAATGCAATAGAAATAAACACAGAGTTGCATTTTACAAAAATTTCTCAAAATACCACATGTAGAATTAAGCTGTTACTTAATGCATTTCAAAGCCCAGAAAGTTTTTGGAAAAAAATTACATATATAGAGATGGAGTGCTCTAAAATATATTATGCTTCTATGATTTCTTTTTAATGAAGATAATCACAAGAAACTGCTAGCAGTTATTTTGAGAAGAGGGACTGAAGAATAAAAGGAAGCTTTTATTTTACTTAAATTTCTTAACCTGGTACATGCATTACTTTTTTTTAAGATGTCAAAGGGTTAGTGGCAATCCTACCACTACACTATTTAGGTCCTCAACTGAAATCATTTTTAAAAAATTAAGTTCTAATCCTAAATATCTTTCGAACAAACAGCAACTATTAAAAAAGAAATTTCAGCATTTTTCTATAATTTTCTTCTTTTTAAAATCTGCAAACCGTCAGAAAGACTGTAAAGCTAGTATAGTGAACACTCACGACTTTTACCAAGTTCACTAATAGTTAACATTTTGATACATGGGTATGTCTCATATAAAAAATAAATTTTGGGGGTGACACTTTTGAATGTAAGCTCTAGGAATCATGACAATTTACCCCTAAATACTTTATCATGTAATTCCTATAAACAAGGATATTATCCTACACAATCATAAAACAAGGATCCAATGAAGGATATATTTCATTTAGCTATTATGTCACTTTAATCTCCTTTAATCTAAATAGTTCCTGTTCTTTGTTTTGTCTATAATGATACTGAGGTTTTTGAAGAGTCTAGGCCAGTTACTTTCCAAAATATGGCTCATTTTGGAAATATGCAGGTGTTCCCTTATGTTTTGATTTATGTTAAACATTTCTGGCAGGAATGCAACACAGGTGATAATATATCTTATTCAATGTATCTATACCAGGAGATACCTGGTATCACTTTGTTAATCAAGTTTAATCACTTCAGTGAGATGGGTGGCAACTTACACACTTAAGAGGAATGTCTCTTTAAGTAGAGGATCCACTCCAACACTTACCTGGTTTTGCTCCCTTTTCTAAAAGGTCCTCAATTTAAACCCTAATTCTATTTTTCTCCCAGAGTAGCATGGATAAGTCCTCTATAGCTCTGTGATAGTGGTTTTGTAGAACACCAAGGATATATTGAACACATCCTATTTAGCCTTGCTGCTCTCAGTCATGGATCATAAAACAGATTTATCGTAAAAATCAAATCAAATGAAGATTTGAAAAAAACAAAGGCAATTCAGCCCTGGGTGTGTAGCTCAGTTGGTTAGAGCGTTATCCTTACAGGCCAAGGTTGTGGGTTTGATCTCTCGTCAGGGAATGACAAATCAATGTTTCTCTCTCTCTCAAAATAAAAGAAAGAGAAAGAAAGGAAGGTAATTCAGAATCCAAAGATTTCAGATGTCAAAGGCTCACAGTTAAAGCCACAAACGAGCAACTGTCTAAAGCCCACTTATCTGGGGATATTGGCAATATATTAAGTCCTCACCTAATGTTGTTGATAGGTTCCTGGAAACTGCAACTTTAAATGAAACAACATAAAACAAAAACAATTTTACCATAGACTAACGGATGTCAACAAGAGTTAAGTTTCTACAGCATATTCCTGGTCACAAAAACACCAGCAGATTTCTAAATAAAGACCTAAAACACTTCTAATATTAAATATTGAAATAAATGTGAGCCACACATACATTTAAGAAAGATGAATAAAAACAAGAGAATTATTTTCCAACTTGCTCATTCCAGTTCACAATAGCAGGTGGCCAAAATCCACTGCAGTAGTTCAGGGCACAAGGTGAGAATCAACTCCAGATAGGACACTCTTTCATCACTGGGCCACTCACACACACTCACACTCACTCAGACTGGGACCGCAGAGGCGTGGCAGTTCACCTCACACGCACATCTTTGGGATGTTGGAGGAAACCAGAGCCCCTGAAGAAAATCATACAGGTATGGGGAGAAGGTACGAACTCTACGGACAGGGGCCCCAACCAGGTATTGATCTTTTTTCCCTCAACAACATTATAAGGAAACAATGATATCACATTACATGAAACAACATTATTTGAAGACTTACTATATTACTATTAGAAGAAAAGTAGAAAGAGATAGCATGGTAGATAAATGTTAACAAACCAAACAAACAAAATCAGTTTAATTAATTATTCTTTAGCACTGGTACACTAAAAATCTAATTGGCTACTCTGTTTCTTTAAACAGATAGTAATTTATACAGTCAATTACATCTTTTTTCTTAGTAACTACATTATCAATATTGTAGGGAAGTATTTCTAAATAATTAAATTACCAAGTTGCTACTTTTATCTGGATCCTAGAAAAGACTGAAAATATCAATGCCAACTTACAATCTTTGATTTGAAGATATCTAGCAGACCTGATAAATGAGTGTACTGATTTGGCACTTTTCGAAGATGAACCATTTCAAAATCAGTTCTGACACCAGGACCCTGACATTCTCCCACATACATTCTTCGCCATTTGTGATGAATTTGCACAAAGAGTGGCACCTGGCTGTAGGACATAATTAAATAGGAATAGACTGTAAGTTCATTAAACATTGAAAATCTCCTAAATCTCAAAATTTTCCACTGTTACATTATACTAATCTCAAATATTTAAAAGCACTAAACACAGAGCACTTCACAGATATATTTATAATAAAGATGCTCTTACTCTCTTTTCTCCTTACACTAGTAAATTGAAGAAATTAGTGGCATTTTGTACCCAGGAAAATGTTTTAAAATGGTTGAAAGTGTAAAAAAAGAAAAAAAGGAAAATGAAATTTTCTTCAATAAAAGCAATCATGTCATATTAGCCTTTCCAAAGTGATAAGCTTGTGATGCTACATGAACTTGATTCACAGATATTAATACAAATTAAACCAACATTCACGGTGAAATATTTTTTATCATTTGAAGATATAGTTGGTCCTCATTATTCACAGATTTCTTTATGTGCAAATTAGCCTACTTGCCAAAATTTATCCGTTACCCCCAAATCCAATACTTGTAGCACTTTCAGGCATTTGCAGACGTGTACAGAGCATCAAAAAATTTGAGTCACCTGCTCAGTGTGTTCCCAGCTGAGGTCAAACAAGGCAGTGATGTAGTCAAGTTTTAAAAAGAGATTTTGTAACAAACAAAAATAGTACTCTTTATTTCAAATATTCATTGAATGTTTCAGTAAGCTTCCCTTTACAAATGCTGCTCCCTAAAGGTTTTGTTGAGTTAATAATTATACATATTCCAATAGTATAACAATGTACAAGTAGTAATCCGAATTACAAAGAAAAACCTAACATTTGGTAACCATTTTCTTAATAAAAAATAATGAAAAATAGTTTTTAACTACTTATCTAAGTTTTTCAAAATGTCCTCCTACCAGCCAGTGTTTCCTAAAGCAATAGACACAGAACTCAGAAGAAGATTGCACTTAGATTCACTGAGAACAGCATCACTGTTTGCAGCAGGGGCGATCACCACAAATTCTCGCAGTCCATACCTTAAAAAAAAAAAAAAAAAATCACTGCCATTATCAGGCGGGAACTTCAGAATACAAAAATACATTACCTGAAAAACATGAAAACATTTCCCTGAAGGAAACTGAGTAAGTCAGGTTTGAGGTACAGGTGTTTCTTTTCTTGATTTTTAAATGGCAACTGATCGTACAATCTGAATTTCCTTCATTTAGTGAAACATTTCCATCATTCAACTACTAGTTCCTCTCTATTATTTATAAATTAGAAGCAATTTGCTGAAATCGCAAAGTTAATAACATTAAGTAACAGTTTTGCTTTAAAAGTTTAATTATAGAGATAAAAAATGAAAGTTAGCACTGAAATTTTTCTTTAATTAACTGATAACGTTAAGTCTACTAATGTGGAAAGGGAAAGTTTGAAAGACTGCCTAAATGGCAGGAAAATAGTATCAGCCATGCTATATATTTAATGCTGTTTGTTTAGATAACAAATATTTATTTCATCTTCTCAACGCACCTCCACTTCCTATAAATCAAAATTATTTATGTAGAAGTGTGGTAGGCAGTTAGATAGACAGGAGCAGAACAAGAATGACAGGCAAGGTACAGAGGTACAGGTCACCATGGCAGAAAGCCCCACATACCTGGCAATAGGCAAAAATAAGGACTTCGCCCCCAGGGTAACCTTTCCTCCCCTAGCATAGAGCTGCTCATGCAGTTTGGAACCCCTGGCCTTTCACATTGCTGATCATGTGGTTTGGATCCTCCCTGACCTCTCCTCCCCTGGCATTTCACTAGTCATGCAACAGACCCCTTTGGAGGAGGAACAAATAGCCAAAGAGTAGCCTCCTGTCGCTCTCATGCGTGGCCCCTGCACGATCACCCCCTGAAGCATTAAGCCCTAGGGACAAGAGGCAGGCCTCAGTTGTGTTTCAGCTCCAGGCCCAGAAAAGCAGCAAAACCAGACAAGTGATGCCATGGCTGACATCAGGGCTCTGGAACCAACTAATCAATAGAGACCAGGACCCTGAAGGGATACACCTGGAAAGCTGATGAATATTCTATTGAGATCCTCCCTGCGGTGCCCCTAAAACCTCCCCTCAAAAGCCCTTAGAGCAAAGGACCCATCTGCTCTCCCTCCCCTTTTTCTCACCCATGTGCACTGCACCTTTACTTTTCTCTCTCCTAAGCTCCAACAACGGCCCTTCTTTTGCCTCTGTAACTTGTTTCCTGAGCCCATTTCTTCTATTCTACTGCTCACCTCTTCTACTTCTGTGACTTTCTAAATAAACCTTCTCTTACAGTTTGAATCTTGGCTCTTAATTCTTCCTTTAGCCAGAACTCAAGTACCAAGGTTGCTGAACCAAGGTCAAGTCTGACTCCACTGGTCTAACACTTGGTGCCATTTTCACTGCCAACAGAAGCAGCATCAAATACTGGAAGGAGCCCAGAGCTGTAAATTTTAAGTTCTAAAGGTCTTTAAAGACAGTTTTCTTTTTCTTTTTTAAATGTCTTTGACATGAAGAAAACAAGAGAACATTTCCCCATGCCACCCCAGCACTAGAATGAAACCACTGTCCACAATTTCTTGGTTGTGCTTCCAGAAATATTTTATTTATGTACCAGCCCTATTCTCACATAAGATTATACTATATATATATTTTGTATACTTTATCCCCTACTCATCAGTACTTTGCTTCCGGTTTTATGCTATTACAACAACATTGTGATTGTCTGTTTCTATATAGGGGATAAATTCCTATAAGTTGCTGCATAAAAAGGTTATCTGCATCTTTAACATTGATAGCTGATGTGAAACTATCTCCTTCCTCTCCACACATACACAGATTGTGTCAGTGTATATTGCCATTAACAACAAATCAGCCACACTAAACTGCTTTCTATTGATGTACAATAAAATTCTATCCTCTGGCTTTGTTTCCTCATCCTGAAATGCACCCCCACCCCCACACACACTTTACTGCCATCACTGAATGTCCAGATTCTGATGGATCTCTTTTTTGAGGATTTACTTCAAATACTATCCTATCATTCCAGTTAAATATGTTCTCTTCTCTGAATTCTAATGTACTTTTCCTATTATTACTATCTTTGAAGGATCAATGTAAGTCATTGATTTACTTTCCATATTAGACCTACTTGATCCTTGACATGTCTTCATCAAGTAAACAAACATTAAATGGGGGCTTTAAAAGTGAGCAAAAATAAACAACAAAAAACAAGCAATCAGATAAAAAGTGGACAAAAGCCTTGAACAGGCATCACTCCAATGATTTACAAGTGGCAACTATGCACATGAAAAAATGCAGTAAACCTAACTAATTATTAGGGAAATGTAAATCAAAACCATAATGACACACCACCTCACACCAATTAGAATGGCTATTATAAAACTCAAAACAAAATGGAAAACAAGTGTTAGCAAGGATAGAGATATCAGAACCCTTCAGTATAACTGGTGGAAATGTAAAACAGTATAGCTGCTATGGAAAATAGCACAGTGATTCTTAAAAAATTTAAGCAGAGAATGACCAACAATTTCACATCTAGGTATATACTCAAAGCAATTAAAAGCAGGGACTCAAAAACATATCTGAATACCCATTCATACCAGCATTATCCATAAGAGCCAAAAGGTGTAAACAACCTAAATGTTTACTAATAGATAAATGGATAAACAAAATATGGTATATATTTTATACATGTAATGATATATTATTCGGCCCTAAGAAAGAAAAAAATTATGATACATGCTACAATAGAGATGAACCTTGAAGATATTATGCTAAGCAAAATAAGCCAGTCACAGAAGAATAAATATTGTATGAAGAATAAATATTGTATGATTCCACTTATATGAGGTTCAAAGAGTAGTCAAACTCACAGAGAAAGAAAGTAAAAAGGAGGTTAGGGCCTGGGGGGGCGGGGTGGAGGGAGGAGGAATTATTGTTTAATAGGTACAAAGTTTCAATATGGGATGATGATACAGTTCTGGAGATGGAGAATAGTGACGTATGCACAAAAATGTGCATGTATTTTATGTCACTAAATTTTATACTTCAAAATGGTTAAAATTGTACATTTTTAAGTATGTTTTATAATGGCAAAAAAGTTAAACATAATAAAGAAGAAAAACTAATATATATTAAGGAATAAATACAATGGCTAATAATCCTATTAATCGATAGTGATTAGGAAAATAAATATTAAAACAAGATTTCACTGTTAACCTATCAAATTGGCAAAAATTATAAATACTGATGAGATTCAGTGTTGGCAAGAGGTATAAACTTTCAAAACATTTTCAAAGGCAGAATATATCAATATTTAAAATTCACAAACTTTTAACTAATTATATCTATGCTACAAAAACATTCAGACAAATGCATAGATATATGTAGAATGATGTTCATTATAATAGTTTAATTGTGAAAAACTAAACATAATATAAATATCCTTCAATAGCGAAATGAGTAAATAATAACAGTACTTCCCTAAACTATGGAATTAAAACAAAGTATACCTGAATTTACTGACATAAAGGCTGTCATAAAATGCTGAGAAAAATATATATGTTTATCAGGACAATATGTACAATGAAATCCCATTTATGAAAAAACTGCAAATCAATACCACAAAACTATATATATAACTCATATACTCATATTTTTGTGATTTGCAGCTTGGTTGTCCAAAATTAATAAGCATGAGATGTGTTAGCTTTCTTTGTGCATGTATAGAAAATGGAAGGGATGGAGAGGAGAGAATGGGAAAACTGAAGGGAGACTGATGTAAGATAATGAGTTTCGTAATAAATCTTTATACTGTTTTTCCTACAATTTCTAATCTAGCCACTTATTAGAAGTTCAGATGTATCAATACAAATGAAAATCCCACCATGGCAATTTTTAATAATGGAACTATTTTTTCTAACAGATTATATATATATTATATTTAAATATAAATGTGCCTTAGCATCACCTTCTCCAAATGAGAAAAGTAGGACAATCATTCATTTTCGTTTATTTCACTTTCAGATGCATTCTTTTCTTTACTGCCCCTATAAAAACTGAAAGCAGCAGCAAATAATTAACAAATATTTGATAAATCTGTCAATAATCTTGCATAGGAAAAGCATAAAACCATATTTTGCTGCCATTTTATGACTTTTACATGTATTACTTTAGAAAAAATATATTAAGAGCCTGTTTAAATAATATAAAAAAAATATGCAGGAAATACTGGATCACCAAAAATGGTGGTTATAAATAATGAAAAAAAATTTTATGGACATATTTAAATATCTAGCATCTACAAAAATACCTGATAAAAATGGGAGTGTTCGATAAACAACTGCTTTGTTCAATTTTTATCCCCCAGCTATCCTTGGAATGGCTGCCGGTACCTTTCATTTATAATCTATTCAGCTTAATTCTAATAAAATTGAGCAAATTTTATACAATAATTCTATTTCCTCCTCTCTTCCTTTGTGCAATATTGCCACATATATTACATGTCACATATGTTAGAAGCCCAACAACAGAGTATAATTATTGTTTAAGTAATCTTATCTTTTTAATTAAAAGAATACATCTTTTGTATTTACTACAGCATTTCCAATAATCTCCATCCCTTCCTGTAGATCCAATCATGTTTCTCTTTGATACTGCCTATAAGGCAGGTATGCCTGCAATAAATTCTCTCAGTTTTTGTTTATATGACAATGTTATTTCACCTTTATTTTTTTTGTTTTTTTTAAATTAATTATTTTTCCAAATACACTTGTCTCTGCCTTCCCCCTACCACTTTCCCCTGCCCCTTCTCCCCTCTTCCTCCCTCAATCTTTCCCCACTTTGGTTTTGTCCATGTGTCCCTGCTATAAGTTCCTTGACTTGCCCATTTCCTTCCTTTTCCCCCACCCACCCCTCCCTCCTTCCCTCTTGTCTCTGTTGGTTTTTCTTTTTCTTTCACTGTTGTTGGTCTTACTTTCCTTGTATCTTTGCATTGTTGGTTAGGTTACGCTTATAGGTGAGATCATATGGTATTTGTCTTTTGCCCCCTGGCTTATTTTGCTTAGCATAACGCTCTCTAGTTCCATCCAGTAAAAACACAACTGAAACACAGGAAGATTTGTGCTGTGTATGGAGACACTGTTGTGACTCATCAAATATGTCAAAAGTGGTTTGCAAAGTTTCTTGGTACTATTGACATTTTGGCAAAATAATTCTTTGCCGGGGGGCTGTCTTATGCATTGGAAGACGTTTAGCAGCATCCCTGGCCTCTACCCAACTAGAAGCCAATAGCAGGAGATAGCCAACATATGCAAAATATCCAAACCAATAAAGTTTTTGTTGAAAATGAAAAAATGTGTCTTTTATTTTATGGAAAAAAAAAACATAACAGACTTTTTGACTAACCAAATAGTGGTTTCAACGGTTTAAGTTTTTCAAACATCACACTATAGTAACAGTATTTATGAAACAATATCCAGTTTATTTTCACTTGCAATAATTCTATTTTTTCATGTGCTACATAGTCTGCTTGCTATAGTAATCACAATGAAATGAAGAAAAAAGAAACAAACACAGATGTTTTCACTTTCCTCATTCCTACAAATTCTTTAATTAAAAAAAATCAAAAGATCAACTCACACCAAGAGAATAATTTGAAAGCAGTATATAAATTCCCTTTAACTAGTTCTCCTTTCTTTACAATATAGTTATATTTGGGACATTTTGGAGATGGTGTGTTTTAATGCTACTCCCTCCATAATACAGCTCAGAATCACTTTGAATAATTGAAAAAGATAAAGACCTTTTAATTGTGATGTGTCTCATATTAATGTATCACATTTATAATTTAGAGCTTCGATGCTATCACATATCAAGGTCAATATTTTATTTCAATTCAATTTCTAACTATATATTGTTTTCTATGATATTTAAGTGTTTTATACTAAATGATCAAAATTAATTTAGACACATTAGATATTACACATACTATGCAGAGAAGAGTTAATAGGCCTGCAACTGCCATCCTCAGAATAATCTCCTAGCAAGGCTGAGCTAGGTCTGGCACTTAAGAACTTGGATCTAGGGAGGTTTCTCACTACTGCCCTAACTGATAGGTGGTGTTGTGCCTAAACTGTCTGTACAAACAATGTGGTTTATGCTGGACACCTGCTTTCCTTCTGGGAGTCTGAAATTTTGTTTTTTTTTCAGTCAGAAGGTATCAGCCCCCAATTAAGAACCTCAAGCGCACAGCCTCTAATAAGCTTCCCTGGTAGATAACATTTCATGTGTTGTCACAACTTGTAGCTAAGGGAATTAAGTATGTCCTGTGTGACTCCATTAGGAAAGAACTCTTAAAACACTTGCACTGCCTTCAAATTTTGCCTCAGGCACCTTTTCTCTTTGTTGATTTTACTTTGCATGCTGTCACTGTAATAAATCATAGCAATAAGTGCAAATATATGCTGAGTCCTGTGGGTCCTCCTAGCAATCATCAAACCTGTGAGTGGTCTTGTGGCCTCTCCAACACACATATTAAGAATTAGCTGTGGAAAATATATACCTACCATCTTACCAGGCAATGTGCTCTTGGAGGAAAGTCATTATTCATACACAGCAAATCTTGCATAGATTGTGGAATAGCATCTACAAAAAAAATTAGATAATGAAAAAGTTATTATGTTGATTCTAACACAAAATATTAAAATATGATTTGAAGAAATATGTAACATGTTCTGCTGATCCATGTAGTTTTGCAATTGCTGAAAGATTGAAATCTAGGGCTAGTACTAAGATTTGGGGAAAGAAGGATGTCTTTCTCAATCTCTTTTCTTTAAAAAAGTCAGCCTACAAGTATATATGCAAGGATGGGCAAAAGTAGGTTGTAAGTATGTGAAACACAGTTTATTCTTTTATTTTTACTAATTATTTTACAATATTATTTTCCATATGAACCATAAGCCTACTTTTGCCCACCCCTGTATATTCCTATATTCGTATTCTTTTCCTTTCTTAAAAGCCATGACTCATACAATTTCCCATCTTTATTAGAAAGGCGTTTTATTTGTTCTTCCTCATCTGCCCTTGTCTCCACTTTCCTTCAAAATTCTTAGAGGTCTGTCAACTCCGTATCACCCGCTATGGCTAGCCTATGCTGGACCCTAGCCATCTTAAATGTTCTTATAAACCACAACAATCTTCCAACTTAAAACTGTGTATCTTTAAGCACTTCGTATTTGCTGTCCGTAAGGTACTACGTCAATGATCATTATTTACTCATAAATGTATAATAAATTTAAAACATAAAGAATACCTGTTAAAAATATTTCCTTTTGCTGTATAGCTATAACTGCTTAGCAAATTTATATTTTATTCATTTGCAAAAAGAATAAAAAAGGAGAACACTAATGACTTGACATTTTACTTAAATAAAGCAATTAGCAACTTAAACAAAAGATCAGTGCTCAAATCTTCTGATCTCTGATAATAGTTTTAAATGTGTATCTCTCTATTAATTGAGCTAATGCTTTACTTGGAACTTCTTATTTCTACCATTAGTTAGAGCTTCCATCACAACCAAATTAAAAGTGCACAATATCTACACACATGTAACAATAATGTCTTAACTATCTTAAATCCACTCATCTTGTCTCATACCACAGTTCCCTCATCTGTTCACGTCAGTAACACTGATTCTAAGCCTCCTTAACAAAATTGTTTTTCTTTCCTGTATGATTTTTTCTCAAAATTATAGCACTTAAGATTTCTCTATTTTGAACAATTGCCTTCATTAATCAATAGAATGTTCAACCCAGAAATCTCTGGGGCATTATCAGACTTCCCTCCAGTTGCATACATTTCCCTCTTTTCCTTATTCCTTAAGTACACATATTCATATTTTAGTATAATTATTTTACTTTATTGTATATATAATTATCTTAGATATGTGTATACATGGTCAATGTTATCTGTCCTAACTTATAAATCTAAATGCAAATGTTATGTTTTATTTGTAACAATAATATGTATAACAGAAAAGGTAATATAATTTCATTCCTATACAAGAAGAGGGACAGGTATTTCAGGCCTATACTTACTAATGGTAATGTTTTGACCAAAAAAACTTTCTTAAATTTATTTTTTGTTGAAGTATAATTGACACATAACATTATACTAGTTTTAGGTGCACAACATAATGATTTGATAACTATATACATTGTGACATGATTACCACCGTAAGTTAACATCTTTCACAATACAGTTATAAAAAAATTTTTTATGATGAGAACTTTTAATATTTACCTTTTTGGCAACTTTCAGGTATGCAATACAGTATTATTAAGTATCATCACCAAGGTGTATATTACATCCCATAACTTATTTATTTTCTAACTCAAATTTTGTATGTCTTGACCACCTTCACCCATTTCAAGTACCCTCCACGCCCCCTCAACCCTGCCCCACATCTGGCAACCACCAATTTTTTATCTGTACCTATCAGCTTGGTTATTTTGGGGGTTTTTTTTAGATTCCACATATAACTGAGATCATATGGTATTTGCTTTTCTCTGTTTGACTTCACTTAGCAAAATGTCTTTAACTGACCAGAAAAACTTTAACACACATTGTGCATATTTGTTTCCTGAATGAATAAAGAAGGCATTTTACTGATAGTTCCAAAGTTTATATATTTTCAATACTTTACTCACTTGCTGTTATATATGAGGGGAGACACAACAAAACCCCAGAATTTACTTATAAAAAATTGTGCATTTATTCTTACAAGTTTAAACTGCAGTTACCATCAAAGTACAGATATAGTACACACATTGAGACGTTTTTTTCCACTGCTTATAAAAGTTTTTGAACTCGTCAATTTTGATGTCTTTTAGTGCTTCTGCCATTTTTTGTGTCACCTCCTCCACACTGGCAAAATATTTCCCTTTGAGGACTTTTTCATCCAGAGAAACAAACAAACAAAAAAAGCCTGGGGCCAGAGCGGGAATAGGAAGGGTGGGGCACTGGGGTCATGCTGTTTTTTGGTCAAAAACTGCTGAACCACTTGGTGTAGCATGGGTAGGTGTGCTAGTCAGTCTCCCATGATGAAATGGGCAAACGTGTTGAGTCCTCAAAAAAAATTCACTGAAGCTGAACACAGCTTCTCATAACACCAGATGGTACACTGATACAGATGGGTTCCCAGAACACTCACCTAACAAGGGACGCCTGTAGTACAAGGGGCCTGCATTCCAGAAGATAATTCCAGTTTTTTTGAGGCCCCCCTCATACTAGTATATCACAGGACAAAGATTTTGGTTATTTGACCTATAAACAACTATAAGCACCATTTACAGAGATTTTGGATAATGTCATATACTAACAACTATAAGCACATTTACCAGGTGTATCTAGAATGAGCCCAGGTAGCAAGATGGGTACTTATGTACAGTATCTCATTAAATCTTCATATTAACTCTCTAGGTAGTATTACTTCATTTTAAGATAATTCAAGTTTAGAAAGATCGAGTATCTACTAAGTAGAAAAACCAGAATTTTATCCACTTGATCTGACTCTAAAGTCTGGGATAGAGCCAAAACACTACATTGACCAATCAACAAATAATTTTTTTTTTTTTTTAATCCTACAAAGCCCAGATTAGCTGCTTCATTCTCCCTAACACCTGCACGGAACTTTTCCATTTAAAAGCAATCTTTTCTCTTCTGAACTCCAGTAGAGCATTATCTGTGCTTTGGGATGGCACTTTCTACCTCCTACTACTGTTACTTAATAGAAACTTTATCTCCCCTACTGGAATGCAAATTTAAGTTTTGGTTCAATTTGGATTAGGAGAGTACCTAGAACATGTTAGACACTCAATAAATATTTTCTGATTTAATTAATTTTAAAACGATGCTGTGATTCTTCCTATGAAAAAATCATAGTCTATTTCAGATGTGGTAGAACCATTTCATATACATAAAATATCTCCAGAGGATATCACATAATTAAGAGAACTAAATTTGTAACTCAAAATTATAAACATAATCCTACGTATTAAGCATTTAAAGTAGGTATAAAAGCTTACCTTCTAATACTTCATTTCCTTCTTTATCAGTGGATTCTTGTACAAGATAATGATGAGTAATTGAGAATTTGAAGTCAGCAAAGAGAATTTCATCTGATTTCTCTTCCCATGTGCCAGAAGTAAATATACCCTGTATTTAACAATAAAAGGTGGGAAAACCTTAAAATATTCAACAGTTATCATTATGTTTATTAACCAGAGGAATCTTTCCCCCTTTTCCTGCCCAGTAATCTAAGTTTCTTCCTATAGTTATCTTCCAATATTGATAATTAAAGAAAAAGAAAACTACATAAGTGAATTAAGAGGAATTTATTTTATAAATGATTTATCAGTGTTCCTTTCAAAAAATCCCTAGAATATTAACTATCAGCTAACTTACAAAATTATAATTTTCAATTACTTTTTGTGAGATGAGTCTCTATAGAAAATCATGAATATAGTAAATCCCATGCTTCTTCACATGCATAAAGGAACAACCCTCTCCACCAATTGTAGAATTGGTAACTTTTAACTAAAAAGGATGAAATTTTACATATTTTAGTAATTAGAAAAATATATAGCAATAAAATACGCTTTTATAAAATCTCAAATCAAATTAACGACACTAAGTAGCTCCTACTGTTATTGAACATCAGAAATTGCCGAGCCCTGGCTGAGGTGGCTCAGTGGATTGAGTGCAGGCTTGCAAACCGCAGGGTCACTGGTTTGATTCCAAGCTGGGATCATGCTTGGATTGCAGGCCAGGTTCCAAGTTGGGGGGTGTGCAAGAGGCAACCCACCTATGTTCTCTCGCACATCTATGTTTTTCTCCCTCTCTTTCTCTGTGCCTTCCTGTCTATCAAAAATTAAATAAATAAAATCTTTAAAAAAATTGCTGCTGAAAAAAGCAGTCTGTAAAATCAATTTAAGTGACAGGACATCTGTAGTACTTCTCTGCCTAACACATTTTTTGCAAGCTTATCAAGCATTGATTTTCAAATATTTTAATTTACACTCAACATCTTTTTTTGAAATTCTTACATTTTTTACATTACAAAAATTTCTTACATTTTTAAATTTTTACAACTATAGTTTACATTCAATATTATTTTGTATTAGTTTCAGATGTACAGCATAGTGGTTAGGCAATCATATACTTTAAAAAGTGGTCCTCCCAATATTTTTCTTAAATATTTTAGTGATTATGCTATTACAGTTGCCCCATTTATTTTCTCCCCTTTACTTCGCTCTACCCTGCACCACTCCTTCCCGCAGCATCCTCACCCTCCTCAGTTCATGTCCATGGGTCGTACATATAAGTTCTTGGCTTCTCCGTTGCCTATACTATTCTTATCCTCCCCCTGTCTATTTTGTACCTCCTATTTATGCTGCTTAGTCCCTGTCCCTTCTCCCCCATTCTCCCCCCCTCTCCCTCCCCTCTGATCTCCATTTCCATGATTCTGTTCCTGTTCCAGTTGTTTACTTAGTTTGTTCTTGTTTTTCCTAGGTTCAGTTGTTGGTCGTTGTGAGTTTGTTGTCATTTTACTGTTCATAGTTTTTGATCTTCTTTTCCTTAGATAAGTCCCTCAAACATTTCATATAATAAAGGGGCTTGGTGATGTGAACTCCTTTAACTTGACCTTATCTGGGAGGCACTTTCTCTGCGCTTCTATTCTCAATGATAGGTTTGCTGCATAGAGTAATCCTGGATGTAGGTCCTTGCCTTTAATGACTTTGAATACTTTTGCCAGCCCCTTCTTGCCTGCAAGGTTTCTTTTGAGAAATCAGCTGATAGTTTTATGGGAACTCCTTTGTAGGTAACTGTCTCCTTTTCTCTTGCTGCTTTTAAGATTCTCTCTGTGTCTTTAGCCTTTGGCATTTTAATTATGAAGTGCCTTAGTGTGTGCCTCCTTGGGTCCAACTTCCTTGGGACTCTCTGAGCTTTCTGGACTTCCTGGAAGTCTATTTCCTTGGCCAGACTGGGCAAGTTCTCCTTCATTATTTTTTCAAATAAGTTTTCAATTTCTTGCTCTTCCTCTTCTCCTTCTGGCACCCCTATGATTCAGATGTTGGAACGTTTGAAGTTGTCGCAGAGGTTCCTAAGCCTCTCCACAATTTTTTTTTGAATCCTTGTTTCTTCATTCTGTTCCAGTTGAATGTTTATCTCTTCCTCCTGCTCCAAATCATTGATTTGGGCCCCGGTTTCCTTCCCTTCTCTGTTGGTTCCCTGTGTATTTTTCTTTATCTCACTTTGTATAGCCTTCACTTCTTCCCTTATATTACAGCCATTCTCAGTCATTTCTGTGAGCATCCCAGGTTACCAGTGTTTTGAACTGTGCATCTGATAGGTTGGCTATCTCTTCATCGCTTAGTTCTATTTTTGGAGCTTCGATCTGCTCTTTCATTTGGGCCGTATTTCTCTGTCTCATTGCACCTGTTACGTGGGGAAGGGCACAGCCTTGGGGTTTGCCAGGGCAGGGCAGCCCACATCTCACAGCGCTGTGACGCTGTGTGTCAGGGAGGGGTCCAAGAGGGAACAAAGCCCCTTGCTCAGCCCTCCGCTGGCTTTCAGTCACTTCCCCGCTACCCACAAGCAAATTGAGCCCTTCTAGTGCGGATTCTCAGGGGTTGGGTTTTTGTACATTCTAGGATCCCGCGAGTCTCTCCAAGGAACTCTCCTGTGAGACTGGGAGTTTCTCCTGCCACAACCCCCACAGGTTTCTACCTGCAGAGGTCTTTCTTTTCCTGTGCTGGAACCCTGGGTTGCACAGTCTGTCTCACAGCCCTGCTGTTCCTCCTGTTTTATCTGCTCGCAAATGTGGGACCGCTTGGTCCACCAGCCGCCGCCTGGCCCGCCCGGTCCTCCCTGCCACGGCTGCCCATCTCCACCCCTCCTGCCAGTCTGGATGAGTGTTTCTTCTTTAGTTTCTTGGTTGTTGGATTTCCATACAGTTCAATTTTCTGGCAGTTCTGGTTATTTTTTTTTTAATTTGTTGTTGTCCTTTTTGTTCTGTGAGGAGGCAAAGTCATATACCTATACCTCCATCTTGGTCGGAAGTCCCGGTCCTCCCAATATTTAAAGTTCCCACCTGGCACCATATACAGTTATTAGAATATTATTTACCACATTCCCTATGCTGTACTTTACATCCCCGTTCTATTTTTAACTACCAATTTGTAGTCTTAAACCCTTCATCTTTTACACTCAGCCCCCTAAACTCTCTCCTCTCTGGCAATCTTAAGTCTGACCTCTTGTGTCTATGAGTTTATTTCTATTTTGTTTATTTTGAAAACAGCAACTTCTTGACAGGAAAATATTTTTATTAAAAGTTTTTAAGAACTTCCTTACCTATATAACATAACCATAAAGAAGAATTTTTCCCATGGGGCCTCTAAATCTCCCACTGCTATTCTTTCTAATGGAGAGGGAGATAGTCTTTGCAGCACAGCACCACTATGAGGCAGGAAATACGAACCCAGCACAGACAGTCCCAAACTAGACAAAAAATGTGTAAGAAATAATTCTGAGTCACGGTGCTTTTAAAAAATGTTTTCATAACTATATCTAATATGTAACACCCAAATGCTTTATGTATGTTCTTGGCAAGGTATTTACAGTTCTGAATTGAGTTAAATCATAATACAGGGCCAGGAGAAGTAACGCTTGCTTGACTGTGGTTAGTAGGGTATAACATGGGTGTAATAGTGTATAGTTGCAATCTGAATATTTCACCTACAATGTCACATGGTGTGCTTGAGTGTGATATTGCTGTTACAGAATTACATGCTTATGATTTTGTAATAAAAGAGTCATTATTTGTGCCACACCCTGTATTTTAAATGTTCTAGAAGTATCATATTAAGTAAATATATCATATAGCAATCTTTTCTAGAATAATCACCATGTAAGACATGTACATGTTGGTGTTCCTTAAAGAGAAGTTAACCTGTGTGAAATTAGGATATATATCGCCCATACCAAAAGCTTCAAACTGAAATGAATAATATAACAATATACAGAAGAGTTTGGTTTGCTAGGAGAAATGCCCCCTATAAAGAAGTTAAGGCTAAAAGTAAGGAAAATAAATCCAGAAAATGAGGTCTATGACTTTTTCAAACCTGTAGAAGAGCTGAAATATTCTTTTTTAAATGATATTTTTAATTAAAAAACCCAAAACATTATTTGATCCTAGTCCTGAATTCCAGGTACTGCTGTCAACCTTACCAATAGCTATCTCAAGGAGAATCTGATTGTATTCAGCAAGGCATCCAGATTCTGTCTCCAAAAAAGACTTTTTAAGATAATTTAGCTCAAGTGAAAAACAATATTCGAACCTCCCTCCTTCAGTTAAATTATGATATAACCATTTGACACCAAATTCCAGTATGGTGTATATTTATGATTAAAACAAGAAATGACAACTCGAATCCAAAATTAATCTAGTTAATTCATCAAAAATAACCTCTGAAAGCTCCAATCTACATAATAAAAAGAAATAAGCATATAGAGTGTAAAGAAATAAAATTGCACTCACAGACCACTTGATTATATACAAAGAATATTCAATGAAATCTATAAACTACTAAAACTGTTGAGCATATGAAATTGTGGAATTCAAGATCAATATACAAAAACTATGTGTATTTTTATATACTAGCAGCAAACACTTGGAAAATGAAATTTTTAAAAAATACCACTTACAACATCAAAAATAAATCAAATATCTATGAATAAACTTAAGGAAAGATGAACAAGAATACTCTCCCTAAAAATACTTCAAAACATTGCTGAAAGATATTAAAGACCTAAGAGATATATCATGGACACAGATTGAAATATACAACACTGTGAAGATGTCCATCAATTCTCCCCAAGTTAATCTATAAATTAAACACAATCCTAATCAAAATTCCAGAAGGCATTTTGTAGAAACTGACAAACTGATTCTAAAACTAATATGAAAACCTAAAGGACCAAGAATAGCTAAAATATTTTGATGAAAAGTATACTACCTGATTTTAAGACTTACTTTGCCACAGTAATGAAGGCAGTACAACATTAGCATAAGGATAAATAGATGAACAAAACATAAGGTCCAGAAATACATACACACATGTTTCATTTTACAACAAAGGAGCCACTGCAATTCA